CAGCACTGGATAAATTATTTGTTATTATTACCATAAATTTTCCATGTGACAATATATAACTCTCAGACATTAAAGTAAAATATTTGTCCCGCAAAATATAAAGGTTGAAATACAAACTCTGGCAGAAATAGCCTAACAGTACTTAATTCAATGCAGATCGAGTCCTTAGAACCAAGATGATGTTAATAATTACAGGAAAAATTAGATATAGTTTCATTTAAACAAATGCCACATGAAACACATTCAGCCATCTGCTAAAACTGTCGTAGGGTAGGATGTTGGCAGATATTGCATAATCATCTGCATATGACAGATAATTTTAGCCAAATCTAAATTAAAACAAAACAAAACATATTCCGAGACTTTTTAAGAAAAAAAAAATAAACCATTTTGTAAACTAATAAGTACCAGAAGTGTTATTTAATATTAATACTCACTGCTAGAGGCACAAAAAGAAAGAGAAAACAGTCCCTTTTTTTTTTTACTCTTTTCTATGTATTTTGAAATACAGATTGTTCTGCCTAGAATTTCTCATGTATTTTACTCCCTTAAACCTTTTCAAAGCAGTGGCTTAGAAAAACAGTTAACACAAAAAGCATTCTTCTGCTCCTCAGCCACTCTACAGTACAAGGACTATTTGCTCATATAGCTTAATGATCTGGGAAGTGAGAGATTTGGAATATTTCTGGAAAGGTTTTCTAACACACAAAAATAGCCACAACTGGAAAAGGTTGTCCTTGTAGAGCAGGTGGCGAAGTTTCCCAATTTATACAGAAATCTGTGCAGTCATATCCCATTTAACTATGTTGATTTACTATTCATTATTTAAACAGTGCACAAAAAATGTGCATTACAACAAAATGTTATCAGTTCTGAAGGTCATTGTCTAAATAATACAATGAAACACGTTTCCTAAAGCCAACTTCTACCAAAAAAAAAAAAAAAAAGGAAAAAAAAAAAAAAAAAAAAAAGCAAAATTACTTGAAGATCTAACAAAACAAATATTGTTACCAGAGACAATTGAATCTTACAGTACTTATTTTAAATACTATATGGAATTAAAATTGACTGAAGAGATTTGATTTTCTTTAAATACATTGGGATTGCTGAGAAGGAATAGAAAACTTGGTAAACAAGTTACCTAAAAACAAACAAACAAACAAAAAAAGAAAACCCAAGGAAAAGAACAGCCCTTGAAGACTGGATAAGGTGGAAGGACAGCCTTTGTTGTCTGTGCAATCAGCCACACTGGAATTCTGCAGCTGGCCCAGGGAATGAATGTTGGACTCACAGAGTGACTGATGGGGAGGGAACACCTCGAGGGCTTTAGTCCTCCCTCCTGCTCACAGGATGGTGAACTTCCAGGTGGAAGTAGGTTGCTCCATATTTTGTTCTGTCAACTTCTATTGATCTCCAGGGGATTCCTCATCCTCTCCACACTGCTCCAGTGCTCACCAGCCCAGCCAGGACTCCCTGGGTTGCAGCTTTTGACTCTTGTGTTTTGCTGTACACCTATAACCCTGTTTTAGTAGAGTATTTTACACTACCACACTAAAATTAGCTCCCCTTTTGGGAGCTGAATAAACCACTCATCCTAAGTAATGACTGCAGTCTTGTAAAATAAATGCTGTGTGGATAGAAGCAAATGCATGACCCAACATAGTTTTGTCTATGACCCAACACAGTTTAATATTCACTTGTTCCACATATTGGTCTAAAATATTATCAATCCACTACCTGGCTCAAAGCAACTGTCCCTCATCCCACCAAACACAAACATCTCAATCAGGAAAACTAAGCTTCCAATGAGGAAAACCAGGCTTCCAATGAGGAAAACCAAGCTTCCAGTCCAGTGTCCATGCTAAGTTTCTTTTCACATTCTCTCCTCCTGCGTTTCACCACACAATTCATGTGCTGCTCCTGTGCTCTGAGTATTATTTTAAACCCACCACAAGGTCAGGAGCAGTGGGAGCCTCTCAGGGATATCAACTTGTCTGCGGCCCAAGATAGACCACACCTTGTTTCTCCTTAAGAAAAACAGTTCTCCTTATCAGCTTGGGTTTGGGAGGGAATACCAAAATGGTAAACATAAAAACATCAATGTGTTACTGATGTTAACAAGTGCCATCCTGGCACAATGAACCCAGCCCCCCTTCCTGCCCTGCTGCTACAGTCCAAAAGCATCAGGTAGCACTTCTGGCTTAAGAACATCTGAAATAACTGCTGGGATGTTCCCCGTGCTGGATACAACCCTGGAAAGTGTTTCCAAGGGAACTGTGTTAGCATTTGTCTTGTGAGGAGTCCAGTCTCCAAAATGTCCTGAACATGCACTTCCACAAAGAAATGGCCTAAGAGCTGGTAGATCTGAGTGTTCTCTCCTGAAGATGCCCATGGGCTGGCTGTGATGAACCTCAGATGTACTTCACATGTATCTATTAAGAGTCAGATCTATTATGAGTTTATTCCCAACTTTCCATATGGATTTTTGATTGTTATTTCTGCCTCAAAGTTAAAACAAAAGTGAAGAATTTTATTCTAATGAACCTCTACACTGAACGTGTTGCAAACAGCATTGTAAAGCTTTCTGATCAAATATAATTTTGTTGAAGAGTTTTAAATTGAAATATACAGTATGATGAAACATAAATAACATAAAACAATACAGGGAGGACGGATTCAAGGAGGAAAAGAAAGCAGAGAGAATATTGGAATGGTTGTAACTGAGATGTGAACAATGCTAATGGTGTCCAGCCTTTCACAGGTTGTACGTGGAGTGCAGAGTGCTGAAAACGTCACTCAAATGAAACTGCTACAGTAGCATGTAGTATTTTGCTAATATATATATATATTAAATGGCTTAGAAGAAAATAAAAACAGATTTTTGAAAAACGTGACAAAGAAACTTGCAAAAGAATTGAGGGTCATGTCCCCAGAACAAATGTAATGTCACCCCAGCAGCAGAGAAGGCTGTTAGTGAAAACAAGTGAATCAAGAAATTTCAAGTTCAGCATCATGAAAGAGTGTCATGAAACTCAACCAGTGGAAAGGCAAATAACTCCAAGCAACAGCTTTGCTACTGCAATATCCCCTTGGATAATTTTACTGCAAAGAACAACTTAACTCCTACTCGTAACGACTACCCATTAGACCAACAGCTATTGCTGCTGTCACCTATGAAAACTTTGCTGTGCCAGACAAAACTGCTGAAGTATTCATTACAAACAGCACAATCACTTCTGCCTTACTATGATAAAATCAGAAGTATTCACCCATTTGTGAACTACAAAAATTAAGACAACTTTCTGCCACGTTCACTCAATTCCCATCCTGCCCACGGTGTTGCATATGGAGAAGACAATCCAATCAGGCAAATAACAGAAAGTGCATCTTTCAGGCACAAACAATAAAGCAGCTTCACCAGAGAGAGCTCAAATCTGCCACTAGTTCTAATTCTATTTTTTGGGGGGGAGAAGGGGAGGGTGCTGTTTATCGGGCGTCTTTTTTGTTTGTTTTTTTGTTTTGGTTTGGTTTTTTTGGTGTTTAGAATTTCATTATTCACCACAAAGAAGAGATAAAATGGAGTACATGCACCGAGTTACTTATTAAGCCAAAACCAGTACTTCCCCCTTCCCTTTTATTTCCCCTTTCCTCCACCACACCTTCAACTGACATAAAACCAGCAAGTGAGGTGTGTGAAAACTCAACAACAAAATAATGCACATTTGTTGTGACAGTTTTAGGAGCAGATTACAGACACCAGACCAAAGCTCTGTGTATTAATTGACCGTGTTTCCTTCATGTCAACGAAACTGCATCAGTTTACACCCTCACAAGCTGTACCTTAGTTTAGGCACAAAATTGTTCTGAATAGAGACATACCAAATCATGTCTTAGCTGGCAATTTAGACAATGAGAATCAATAAAAGGGAAAATGATGCCATAATGAATGCATCAGTTATCAGTGAAGGTCTTTCCAAAGACCAGTGGGAAAAAATAACAAAACCAGATGTCTCAGTACAGCACATTTTGACCCCATATTATTACCCTACTCCAGGCATTTTGTAGTGTTCAGGTCTGTGGAAGTGGTTGGTGTTTATTACTTTATCCACTTCACAGTGCACAGGGTTTTCACATGCAGGTTGCTGAAGACATTCCACTTTTTAAATATATCAGGATTAAATGATGTATAAGCTTGTTCTACTAGTGATTCATAGATTTTTATATTTCTGCTCTGGTACTGTCTGAAAATTGAGATTTTCAGCACTTTCAAGGTTATCTCCTGCAGTGTTGGACCTTAACACAGTTATTCTGTGCCCACTCCTCTGATTTAGCAAAGTAGGTCACTGTCACCTCAGTGCCTTCCTTTGATTCCACCACCTTAGCTTTTATTTAATGACTATACAGTGGAAGGACTCTCAGTGCTCTCAGTGCAGATTCACTCACACCAGACTGTCTGCAGTACAATGAAGCTGAACTAGTACTTTCTGTAGGAACCAAGATAGTAAAAATCCCTATTTTATAAGTCATATTCCTCTCCTCAGCAAACACTCTCAGGTTTGTGTGATTCATCTTTATATCAGGCTTGAATGTCAGTTATGTTTGGGGTGAAATTTCATCTTTACATGAAGTATTTTTCCTAACAACAAGATAATAAGCTACAAGACCATGAACATCTTATTTACTACAGCAAAGACAGCAAGATCAACACAAAGGTAGTGGAAAAGGGATTTTTTGTTCACTGCACTCAAACTACTTTTTGATTATAGTTACAGTATATTCCAAATATATTGGTTCTTTCCAAAACCCTGCATTGATTGGTGCACCAATTCTACAAACAAAGCTTATTTTAATGGACTATTTGACTCGCTCAAAATGCATAAATGTAACTGCAATTCATTTCATTATGACACCAGGCCACTGATTGTGATGTAACTCTTCTATTATTGTCACTGGTCCATCAAATACATTGAACTACAGCTCTACTACAGAGTTGGAGCCTCTGTGCTCACTGAACACGTGGTTACAGAGTGCTCTGGACAAGAGGAAGATCTATCACCTGACCAGTGGGGATGGAGTGAACAGTGACTGGAACCCAAGGCTGGGTGACAAGAGTGGTGTCATTTCACTGGCTTGGGGAACCAAATGGCACCCAAAGGGAGTGGTTCAAGCCCTCTACAGCCACCTGCACTCTCAGCAGTATTTAAGGTTCAGAGAAACTTTTGGATGTTTAATTCACTGCTTGTTCAGAACACAAACACGTTATAATCTCATACAACCCCTCTGCTTCTTTCCACCTCTCTGGTTCACCACATCCCCAGCTCCTTAGTCTGTTATTGCTTTAAGTTTTTCTGACTGTGATGTAGCACGTTACAAGCACTCAACACCACTGTGACACTGAGTATGTTTATCACCTTAACCTTCAATAGCTTTCTGAGAAATTTCTATCAACCCGTCTCATTAAAATAAAAATATTAGTTCAGGCTGTCCTCACCAAATGCATTATACTTGACACACAGACAATGACTGAAATTGATGTCATGTTTTCCAGGGCAGGGGTGCTTTTATTTATTTATGCAAGCTGCTGAGAGTCCTGCAAATGGATCTCGTCGAACAGGTACACTCTGCCCTGACAGCACTTCCCATCCCTGAGTCAGAAAATCCCACAGAATGGGGAGAAGGCAGCCTGGGCCTCGACCCATTTTTATCTCAGCCTTTATTTGACAGTAGCATTGATGGTAATTGTGGAAAACGTGTTACTTTTGCGTCTATGCATTTTTGAAATGGTGACCCAGAAAGCAACATTCCAATTTCCCAATCCTACTTAGTGAGCTGTATTATACTGCCATGAACATAAAAAATATATCAAATAACTCAAAATTATTCAGAAAAACTACATCTGCCCTAAGCAAAGTAACATTTCTACCTTTTTTGCCCATAGCCATTGGAAAAAAAAAAAGAGAATACTAAAAACAAAATTTGAAATACATGAAACTGTAGAAGCTCAAAATAATTTAACAGGGGTATCATCTCAGGGGAAACTAATAATCAGCTGTGAAACCATTAATTTATATGAATTGACTATGGAGCACAATGTTCAAATCTGGGACACCATTTAAACTGGGACAAGTAATCATTATTTAACCTAGATTCTGTAAATTCACCTCAGACATTTCAATTTTTGCTTAACAGCAAATATCCAATGACCTGCCACAAGATACAGAAGAGAAACATTGTGAAGAGCACAGTATTTGCTTCTTTCCATAGCAAATGGTGTCCCCAAGGCTGTCAGAGAACAAAACTGAATTGGGCAGCAGTGTCTAGAAAGGGCTTATGTAGATAATGGCCACAGAAAGGTTGAGATATTAAAAATTAAGAAGCAGGAAAAGAAAGGCTTTGCTATCAATATTTTACTGGAAACAGAAAGTAATATTTAAAATAAACTTGTGATCAACTAAAACGTTTACAGAGAAACATCCTCTGCCTATGGGAGAGCAAAAGCTTCAGCACCCCAACTAAAAAAAATATGATGATGATGTTAATGATAATTGAACTCAATTATAGAGAATCACAGACAAGAGTGGAGTTCACAGGTACTTAAAGAGAGCATGATCAGGATTTGGCCACACTGATTTTCTCACATGAGAACTTCAGAACATGTGACAGCAACACCCAAACAGAAATGCCCAGTTACACACACACGTGTGACCCCTCTCGCAGAAAAACTGGTACCTACTTGGCCAAGAATTCTTCAACAGAACTGATTAACATTGTAGATATTTCTAATTATTACCAACTGCCTTGGGATCAGCAGTCACCAATCAACAGTGTAAGGTTTGTGCTGTTTCAGAACAAGCAATTTTCTGCCGTTGCAAAAAAAAATCCCCAAGTTTGACAGTTCCTGAGCTCTGCATGAAGCAGCTGGACATTTTGCATAATTTTTTGTGAGACAGCCAAGCACGAAGCTCTTCAATGTTCCTCCCAGGTAATAACCCCAGTGAGGGCAGAGCTGCTGTGCTGCTGCCTGGCTCCTCGGGGCAGATGACCCTTCCCTGTCACCTGCGGGCACTTCCCACCTCGTTCCCCCTTGTACTCCCCTCTCCCCTCTCCCAGGCAGCGCTGATGACCTTGCAGTCATTGTGGATTCTGAGCTCTCTCCTGAAGCACCCATCAATCATGTAATTAAAGTCTTTCACTCCTGCTGTAGGACTCCAGCCAGGTTGGGACATATGTTACTTAGGCATTTTATTGAAACATTAATTCAGTGCAGACTTTTGTTTATCTGATTTTTTTTTTTTTTGGTCTGCATACCTCCCAGCTATTGCATTTTAAAACTCACTGTATGTGTAGAATTGAACAGTCAGAGCCCTTGACACTGAACTCTTCCTATTACATTTTTCTCATATTAATCAGAGGCAGAGTTTTGTCAGTTGGTTTAAAAATCTAGATGGTGCATCACTGTTCTAATTCATCTCTGCTTTGACGAGGCCCTTGCCAATCAGCTCATAATTAATGTTTATAGTGATCACCATCAGCTGTTCTGCACCAGAGGCAAAAGGGGTGGGAAGGTGTCTAAGGAAGGGCTTGGCTGCTGTTTGGCCACATCTTGCACTGGACGTGTTTGTTCTGTGCCCAGATTACACGGCCCATGTAATTGCTGAGTATCAAAAGACCAAAACACAGTGATGTGTGCATGTAAAACTGTGTGATGCCTTCTGCATTTTTGAATGCAATGAAACAATAATTATTTAAAACAAACCTAATCAAACACCTACAATACATTTTTTTTTTTTAATCTGTGTTTTCCTAACCATTTCTAAACATAAACTGGTACTGGTGAGGCATGAAAGGCAATCACTTTTAACTGAGCAGCAGGTGAGCACTACATTTCTTTTTCTTGTCTGTGCCTTGAAATAAGTTTATGAGCCAACATCATGGAAAAAAGCACAAGAGGAAACTAATCTGTACAGGACGCTGGCATATTAATTCAACTTGTGTTTACATATCCTCTTTTCTCAAAATTACCACTTAAAAAACTTAGTAATGGAGTGCAAAAAAAAAAGAAGGGAAAGTTGTTACATTTCTAATGGGGAATTCACATGTAAAATACTATTTTAAGGCTTTTAAAACCAAACCAAACTAACAATCTTGAGTGACTTTACCAAAGAGTGCCAAAGACAAGGACAAAAAGGCTCACTGGGAATCCAGTTCACACTGACAGGAAATCAATAGCTCAGGCATTAACAAGTCACAAACACAATGCTCTACAATGGAAAACATTCTGACAAAGACAGGGAGCTATAAAGAATTTATGTTTTATACCTAAAAGTTGGAGTGCCTTAAGGTTTTCTCTCCAGCAACACTCCTCCTGGTTCAATACCATCCCTAATTTTCCTCTCACTTTCTGACCTTAAACTTTAGAAGCAGCATTTAATGCAGGGAATAAATGGCAAAATCCATGGAACTAAAGTTACAGCTTGGAGATGAGGATGAAATTCGGGTTTGTCTTATCACTGTGGTGTAGGGAGGTGCCATGTGCACCCCCACTCTCCCTCTCTTCCCAGGGATTATAAAGACTCAGCACAGGTTTTGTAACCTGAGAGATTATAAAATCAGAGATTTGCCATCCTTTTTGGACTCCCCACAGGAGCATTATAGGCAAGATCCCAGTAAACCAGTGGGGGGGCACTTGAGGGCTGATCTCGTTAAAATGTTAATGGGATCTCTTTTTCCCACCTCCTGTCTGACAGCACAAACAAATAACCCTGTATCTCTTTCAGCATTCTGCTGCTGAAAGGACGAATTCCACTCTGAAATGGCGTGCAAGAGTTCTTGCATAAACTCATCAAGTGGCAACAGCTCAACTGCAATGTTATGCTAAAATAATTTTCCATCCATAATAAAATATCCACTCAACCTTTTTTTGATGGCAAATGCTGCTGGAAACAGCCTAAAACCCTTCAGATTTTATGACAGATTAGTATTAAAACCGAATGGAGCCCAGAAAGAATTTCATGTAAGCACATTGAATGCCTGTCCTCCCCACCTAACCAGGGTGCAGGGATTTTCCTGTGTGTTTATTCACTTTGCATTTTTCCAATCCATGGTTCAGACACGGTTTCCACGACCATATTTCAGTGGGATGTGATGAGAGTGCCACATGCTGAGTTCCTGCAGAATCACTTCTTCAGAAGACAGAAATTTCTATTGGGTACTTAGAACCAAGCAATAGGTGAGAAACAGAAACTAATTGAATTTTATAATTAAAAAAATAATTGTAGGGATATATCAATTTTAATTCTTAAGCATCAACATCTCTCCAAAGAGATCCTGCATCTATTCTGTGATACACTGCAAACTGGCCAAAAAAAAAGATGAAAAATCTGAGATTTCCCATGTACACTGAGGTCTTCTTGCCCCAAATATGGGCACAGTTTTCAGTGTATACAGTTATATGTCTGTGTGTACATTTCTTCTTTCCTGTTATTCTAGGAAAGAGTATCAGAAAGGACCAATAAAGACCCTGCTTTCCTCAAAAACTGCCACTGGATTAATTTCTTTCCCTTAAAGACAGATATGTCTGAAAATTATGAACCTGTCAAATCTTGAGATATATTTATAATAATGATATTTTTGGAAACATTCATTTCCTCATATCATTTACTCTGCTTTGACAAACCTGCTGCTCAGTTTGGTTTATGGCAAGCCCGCTTGATCCTCGAAGAAAGGGCCTTTAGCACTATCTACAACTAACAAGGGTTTAGCTAATTAATAGAGAATATGGCATCATTGCACAATAACCCCTGACAAATGGATCATTATCGATAGTTAACGACTACTTTGATAACTAATTGCCCTGGGGCAAAAGCGTGCCCGGGGAGAGAAACACATCCCAAGGAAAAGTGAGAGCTATTAAGAGCCATAAAGTTTGGGTTGGGAGGTGCTCCTGGCGCTGTAAATCCCCCGGACTGCAGCTGCTAACGATTCCTGGAGAAGGAAGGGCCGAGTAGAAGTGGCTTTCCGAGGTGGGAATGCCTCGTCTGGAAAACAATTATCTGCCGTTGGGAATGCACAGGCTTCACCAATTAGGATAAAGAATGCAGCTCATTACATGAGGAGCGCTAGGGGTGTGTGATGGCTTTCCTAACACTCAGGAAAAACAATCACATTATACACACTAAAGAGTCTGTAGGAAGACCAAGACTTAAGCAACACCTGCAGTGTGGAACTGATGAATATATTCACTTAAAATCTTTTGTGAGCGTCCATTAAAGCCCATTTTAATGCTCGAAGTAGCCAAAATCCCAAGCAGGGATTTCAGCTGACCATGCACTGGAAACCCTTCCAGGGATGCCGTGCACTCTGTTAACATCACTTGCTCCTGGTGGCAGAAAAGCAGCAATCAACACCCTGACCACAACCACGGCGAGCAGCAACGGGGCTGGAGGACTCAAGCTGGAATTCCAAACTTCAGCTGGCACGTTCACATCTGTGCAGCTCACCCTGCCAAAGGTTGGTGCCTGCTGGAACTTCACATCCCGAGAGCAGATCTCGGCTTTCTGGGCATCCTGAGAACCACCCCCCTCCCCATGCACATGGAATCCTGATTATCAAATAAAAGACTATGCTTAAAGCACTTTTTTTTCCTTTAAGTGGCCACATCTGCATTCACCACATCGAATCATTACTGGTACACTCCTCGCCTCCCTTCCCAGCCTCATTAAACAGACACCACAACTTTCAGTTTGCCCACCCAGAGCTTCTCTATTCCTTTCAAATGAAAGAGCAATTTTGAAGAATGCCAGAACTACTGATCTGCCTTTCTTTTGTGGGTTTTCAAATGTTCAAACACCCCTGCTTCAAAAAGTACAAAGTTTGCTGGTTTGATTATTCTGCACCACACTGCAAAAAAAAAAAAAAAAAAAAAAAAGACAGCACCTTGAAGAAAGAGCTGGCATGTAAGAAAGGAAGAAAAAGAGATGGAATTTGCTTGTGTGGAAGGAGTATAAAGACTACCAAGAAAAGGGATGAAAAGCACAGAAATAACAAGATGGGCAAGAAGAGACAGCAAGAGTTATATTAGAGATGAACAATACAATTGTGAGAGAGGTTTTGGCGGTAATAAATATATTATACAATACAGGATCCTATATAAGATATAGGATATGTATTTAGATATTATTTCATATATATTTAAAATGTAAAAATATGTAAAAGTTGGTCTTGCAACAAAATTAGGTTTGAGGTGTCTAGATTACATTTCATGCCCATGGTCATTACTGAGTTGAGATCCTCATTATTCCATGGAAAGAAAAGCAACAAGAGAGTAACTCTACTGCTTTCTAGGTAGACAGCCATCAGAATGACAGTGTGCCAATAAATATCTGCAGGGAAGTGAAGTGAAAGCAACTCAAAATGTCAGAGGTTTGAAATCAGCCCCCAGGCCACCATCCCCTCCATCAGCTGTAAGTGGGTTCATGGGGTTCAAGTCTCACCCTTTGTGCAACAGCACATGAAAAGGGTCACAATAACTGGTCACAGGGATGGTCACCTCCAGAAGTGCAGCTTTTGTCTTCCTCAGAGAGTCACTCGTGCCTCCCAGAGGGGCAAGTCAGAGGAGAGAGAGGGATGCTGGAAAAATAATTAGTTCTTTAACTTCAGGGAGGGTACTGAGATCTAATTCCAGGAGGAAGAGGGAGAGGGAGGAGGAGAGGTCAGCAGCTGCAGAAGGCCCATGGCCAAAGAGCAGAACACCCCATGTTGAAACCATCACATCAAGAGCTCTCCAGAGATTTTAACAGCAAGAGATGCAGAACACTTGTGGCAAAACCAGATCAAAATAAAAATCTCTCCTGAGCCCACACTGTCCTTTCATACCAATCCCAACTTAACGTGCAATGTATCATCACAGCAACATTACACTGATGGCACAGAATTTATGAGAGATGTCTTGTGTCTTACTAAACAGGAATTGAAAGCAACAGGGTAGAACAGAGGAGCACAATAACATTGTCTTCACATTTCTAACACTGAGAAAATAGGTCTTTTTTTTTTTTTTTAACAAAAGGGTGGGGGAAAAGAGATAATATGAATGTAGATTAAGTAACGTTTACTTTACTAAAGACCTGCTAGATCAAAAGTTAGATAAAGGGATAAAGTTCATTACAGATCTCTGTCCTGCATAATTCACCTTCATGAAATGTCAAACTCCTGTTTAGGAAAAAAAACCACAAAACCAAAACCAACACCAAAACCACTTCACTCTCTTTCTTTCTTCAAAAAGATTTTTCCTAGTTTTCCTTTTAGTTGTCTCTGAAATAAATGAAAGTTGCTATATGTTGCAAAGGACTTTTCTAGACTTTTTGGGAAGGACTTGGAATAGGTGGAAATAGTATCTTGTAGGGTCAGTGCTTGTTCAGCCCTCAAAGACTGGAGCACCTAGGTTAGAAATTACCTGAGAAAAGAAATTATGTATTAATATAATCAGTCATAATGGTGGAAAGTATGTGGGCAAAGAATTTTCAGTCTAATGATAAAACCCTTCTCTCTCAGATAGTGATGTCTTACCCAGTAACATTAAATCCATCCCTGAGCTTCCTTCAGAAATTAAAGATACAACTTTGGAAAGATACTCAGTACTAATAATCAAGCCTTGAAGTGGCAAAATAATCTAAGACATCTCAGTTCCATTTCTAGTGGCCAACCAAATACTGTAGCCTTGCAGTAAATGTTGCTAATTATTTATTCCTGCTTTTAACCTGCTCAGTTTATCTGTCATATAGGAACTGGGATGGGAAGCTTTGCAGGTCTTGGAAAGGAAGACACAACTGTTTAGGTGGGACCTGGCTGGTTAGATTTGTGTGGTTTGTATATCTAATAGCAGAGATGTTAATGGACGTATCTCCTGATATAAACTGCTTTCCCAACAGTGATTTTTACATGGGAATAACAAATATTATAATGAAAATATATCAGCTTTTGCCTTTCTCTTTTCTGTGACATGAGTTCTGGCCAAAGTGTCACCCTGTCATTTGTATCTCTTCAGTCCTCTCCTGTACCCACCCATATGTTTCTGTGGATCAAACCAGCGAATCAGAAATGATACTTCAACAGCAATATTTTACATCCAGCATTTCTGCTTACCAGGGTATTTTAAAGTCATCAAATGTTCATCAGAACAGTGCCAAAAGAACAATAAGTACCTGCTGAGGCAGAATAGGAAGGGCCATGTCAAATATTTAAGCATCTGAACATTATGTTCAATTGCTTCTGAAACATAATTGCCTGGAAATTTTGAGAGAAGAGACAGCTCACATACCTGGTGCTGGAGAGGAGAGGATATAAAACATTGAGTCATTCCCCTGGAGCTGCACTGGCTCTTGTTTGCCCCACATTGTGCCCCTGAATCCTCTGGTGTCAGACCCTTCTTTCCAACTCACCCCTCAGCTCTGCTGGGAAACGTCCTGCAAGTGGCTGGTGTGGCTGTTCAATAGTGACACAGATCCTGGGTAACTGTGTCATTTATTGTATTTGTGTCTGTGTCTCAAGTCAGGCTTTCTTCTAAAATTTTGTTGCCCAGTTTTTGTATCTTGATGTATAACTGACACTGAAAGCACTCCTGCAGGTGTAAAACACCTCTCAAAAGTGCAACAGATTTCAAACCCTGGGAATTCTGTTGAGAATATACCACGTTCAAACCTCGCCACAAAAGCTATTCCTTCATGCAGAGCAGGTGATGTTTCAAATCTCCAAAACTGCAAATTGAATGTTAGTATTAGAATTTAATTCTATTAACTCCAGGAGGTGACGGGAACATTGAGTGGAAGAGAAAGAAGGAGCTGTTTCCTCTGATGTTAAGTGCATGAGAGAGAATTAAGACGTGCAGGAGCAGGACAAGTTAATTTAGAGCTCAGTCAAAGGGAAGGCACACAATATGACTAAAAGAAGTTTAGGAGTAACTAACAGGAATTAGGATGTTAGAAGGAGAAATTAAAATATTTCTCATCTCAGAGACAGCTCTGCATCTGCTGTGGGTACCCAGCCAGCAAAGAGGGTAAAGCAGCCAGAGCACATCAGGACTAAACAACTGTAGCATTACAGAGGTGAACCTCAAGTTTAGATAGTAGTTACTGAGGATGTGGGATGGTCAAGAGAAGCACCACTCATGCTCAGCACTACCCCTGCCTGGAGAGCAAGATCCCCAGGAGACCTGCCCTTCCCTCTGTGCCAGTTTGCTGAGTGCCCAACTTGAGTGTGAGCCCTGACTGCAGCACTCTGCCATTCCCTTTTCTAGGAAAAGCTTTGCTGGATGTCAGTGGGAATCTGGTTTCAAGGAAACCCATCAAAAACGAAACATTCAATTCCCACCCTGAAACACACTCCCCACTGCTAAACTTTGTAATGCTTCCAGATTCCACTTGTAGTGAGCAAAATTGCTGTCCACAAACCACTATTTCAGCACTTATGATAATTTCATCATTTATGATAATTTCAGCACTTATGATAATATCAGAAAGAAGAGAGCAACAGAACCCACCTAAATTTCACCTCATTAATTTACTTTAGCTGCTTCTTAACTAGGAGAGTTTAAGAGTTCAAGAGTGGGCAGAAAAAAACCAAGCAGTACCCAAGGATCAATCTTCTCAATAAGAATTACCCTCCTAAGTACCTTCCTGCAGAGCTCCCAGTAGTGCTGTGTGGACCTGTGGTATGATCTGGGCATCTCCATCTGTCTCCCTAGACCATGGTTTGACTTAAAACTCCCTCATATGAACCCTCAGAAAGAAAGGAACTCAGGAGAGCACCAGGTCTGACACTTGCAGGCAAAGGAACAAAACCTGGACAGAAGTCCCAGACTAGACCTCATCAGGATCAGTTCCTGGGAAAGAAGGGTTCCTGCCCTCCTGTGCTGGGGGAGGGTTTGTGGGCTTCAGGCTACCATGGTAACAAAGAGAAGTAGTCATTTTTTCAATGTGGAACTGAAATCATCATGAAATCAAACTCAAAATTAAACAAGTCTCTGCTGACTGACAGGCACATCAGAATCAGGCATCATTCTGATCTCTGCCCAGCTGCAGAAGCTCAAAATGGTGTGTGTTTCTTTACTGGCACTTGCCTTATGTCCTGCTTTAATTACTAATTTATCAATATTTTATACAATAAAAGTAGCAATTTTATCATCCATATCTCTTGATTAACATGACTTTGTGCTGAAAATTGATCAATGATATTTACTCCTAATATCACATAATAATATGATATAATAACATGATGCAATAAGAATTATGATATTAAATGCTAAAACCTTCAATATTTTCTTCAGGCTTTGGTATCCAATGACAAAATTATCTCAGTCTATTTGTTTTTTTTCCAGATGCAAACATTCCCTCAGTAACAGGCAAGGGAGATACTTTTTACAGTTTGAAACTGTATTAATTGTACT